TATACAGTACTGACCATAAAGGTATTTCAAATTGGTTATTCGAGCATAACTTCTTTGAAGAGGCTCAAATGACTTGAAACTTCGCATAGATTTTAAATAGCTACGCAATAACTTTTTCCCAGAATGAAAACTTATTTGCTCAAGTCAGACCGGATTTGAGAGCAAAAAACCAAAAATCGTGAAAATGAAGATTTTTATCTTGAGATTCGAAAAATCATATCTTCGAAGAAACTTTGATTTTGAATTAGAAACTTTTTTCCCCGGTAAAACAAGTTTCCGGCTTTCTAAAAAACCTAATCAGCCGCCTATCAACCCGATAGTAAGAGCGTAGTGACTTTTTCTTCAAAAGGCCTTTGCGTTTTGACGCCTCGTCATTCAAATGGACTATACGAGATCATTTTTGTTTGAGAACACCATGTTTCATGTTGAAAAACTTCAAAACACCCTCAAGAATAGTTATACACTGGTTTCTTCATCTTTCTCACTTTATCCTTTCTCCAGAACTCGCTTACTTCACTAGGTCTGATTTTGAAACCTCTGATTTGGAGCGGTTATGCTCGTTTTTCAAAATCAGAACATTCTCGATTTTTTATTTCAGATTCCAGAGCTTTTTTTGAACCTTTACGAATAAAAATAAAAGAAGACCCACTGTGTTTCGCTTACTTATTCAAAAGATATAGTGATTTATAATGAGTTTCTTAAAGTTCTCAAAACTTCGTTTCAATTAGCGTTGCTTAGAAGGCTCCAAATCTTGTGTAATAAGATTAAAACATCTTTTTTTAAATATTTTTTTAATGTTTTTAGATCATGAGATGTTTGTAACTTCTCTTTCTAGCTCTCAGATCGAAGATAGGCACTGTAAAAAGTTTGTTTGAACTTTATGGGAAAATAAGTTTTTGGTCTTGTGAAACTAATGCTTCAGCAAAACAATTAGCAGTCTTCAGGAAGTCGGAGCCTGCAATTCAGCTATTAATTATTTTCAAATTCACGATTTAAAAGCGATTGATCAGATAAAAACTGCTTCGAATGCCCAAAAATCCAGAAAAACTGTTCGAATCAGAGGTTTCGAAATCAGATCTAAAGAAGTAAGCGAGTTCTGAAAAGAGTATAAAGTGAGAAAGCTGAAGAAAGCAGTGTAAAACTATTCTTGAGGGTGTTTTGAAGTTTTTCAACATGAAACATGGTGTTCTCAAACAAAAATGAACTCGTATAGTTCATTTGAATGGCGAGGCTTCAAAAAGCAAAGGCCTTCCGAAGAAAAAGTCACTACGCTCTTATTATCGGGTTGGTAGGGAGCTGATTAGGTTTTTTGGAAAGCCGAAGACTTGTTTTACCGGGGAAAAAAGTTTCTAATTCAAAATCAAAGTTTCTTCGAAGATATGATTTTTCGAATCTAAAAATAAAAATCTTCATTTTTACGATTTTTGGTTTTTTGCTCCCCAATCCGGTCTGACTCGAGCAAATGAGTTTTTCTTCTAGAAAAGAATTACTGCGTAGCTATTTAAAATCTGTGCAAAGTTTCAAGTCATTTGAGCTACTTTCAGAGAAGTTATGCTCAAATAACTACTTTGAAATACCTTTATGGCCAGTACTGTAAGTATTGCTCAATTCTCAGCTCTACTTATTTCAGGAACGAAAAATTCAGCAATTTTCAAAATTATTGATCTCTAAATTTTTTTCTCATTAAAATTGACAGTTTTAGTCGTCTCCGTGCACATTTTACCCTCAAATTCATCATTTTTTCTTCATCTTTTTTTCTCTAAACTTGCTCCGCCCCTTTTCACGATGGTAAAATGGTTTTTAACGAGTAGGTTTGAGTGGTTTTTTAAAGCGCAGTACTGAACTAAAAACAGAGAAAACTAGTGGAAATATAGAAAAAACCCTCCTCTTCAATCGCATATACTTTTTACCCTATTCCCGAAGCGTTTTAGCGGAGTGTCGTACAAAAAAACTAAATTTTTTCCAGTCTTTAGCGCAGTTCCATGTCGTTGGCACCTTTCTTATTTCTAAATTCGATTTCCAACTGAAAAAAAAAATCTTTTAAGACAAAAAAAAATTAAAACTTCTACGATGTCTAATCTTCGTGAAGCCGTGCAAAGTTGAAAAATGTGTTCCTCGGTTTCGAAAGCGTGTGCGTGAAAAGTTTTTGTTTTAACTTGTTGATATTGAAGTAACTTAAACTTTATCAGATTTAAAATCATTTCGAAAAATTAGATTGAACTCGTTAAATTCCCCTTCTTTTTCCTGTACTTTTTACCATAAAATCCTCATTTTTTACTTCATTTTTTTCGCTCAAAAACCTCAAAATTTCAAACGTAGGGAAATGATCCGCTTTGATTTATCGGTTGTAATCTTTTTTCTCACTTAATTTAAAGTTCTTAGTCTTTTCTCTGTACACTTCACTATCAAAATTTTTGTTTTTCCTCCATGTTTTTGCTCAAAAATCACAAAAAATCGAACATAAGTGGATTACTTAAGGGTTTTCGGAAATCCGCTCTGTTTTATCGGTTGAAATCTTTTTTTCTAACAGATTTTTCAAGTATGACAGTCTTTTCTCTGCACGTCTTACTATCAAAGTCTCCGTATTTCCTTCATTATTTTGCTCGAAAACCTCCAAAAAGCGAGCATAAGCAAGAGGCTCAAGGGCCCTGGACTCAGGAGGCCACTGTTTCCGTGATAAATCGATAATCCGCATACGAAAGCCATAATTCCAGAGATAGATATTTCAAGGGCAAGTACCAAAAATCCTCCTAGGAAACAACTAATCGAGTGAAATTTTGAAATAACTTTATAAAATCTTTTTGAAACAGTGTAATGATCTCTTTTTTTCTAAAATTATTGTCAAAAGTCAACCATAAAACGGATTAAGTGGTCTCTTAAGTAGTGTCTTAAGCTCTTTCTTCTGTTTTAAATGCTTGGCGGAACAAAAGGAGCAATGACGTCATATTCTGAGCCAATGACGTCACTAAATTCATTCATTTAGCTATACTATTACGGCATCGCAGACGAAAAGTTCATCACAAAGATAAATGATATTACTAGATGAACAATTCTTGAAACAGTATAATGACCTTTTTTCAAGCCGAGTCGCCAAACTCGGCTACGACGATTCCTATGAGGCCAATCAACAGTGGCACCAAGAATTCGGACCGACTTTTGGGTAAATTTCATAAAATTCCTTCAAAATCAAGAGGATTCAGAATTTTCCTCGGCAAACAACTGCAAATCGTCGTTTCCGAGGAGGAAATGCTCAAGGAAATTTTCATAAAGAACTTCAATAATTTTTCGGATCGATGTGTACCTGGACTTTTCAAGTATAACCGTAAGTTTTAGAAACATTTTGTGATATAATATTTTTGGTCGCGTTTGGGAATGGCTCAGTGCGTCGTGGGAAAAGATTCTAAAAAAAAAGCCATAGAAGCCAAAAATTTGCAACCGACCTCGAACGACTTCTAGCCTTTTTTCTCCGCAAAATAAAAAAAAATGTAAGGTTAATCTTTAAAAAAATCGATCAGATGACGTCACAAAATTGATCATCTACAGCTTTGGCTTCAGCTCCTTTTTTTCTGAATGACGTCATAAATATCAAAATGACGTCACTAAATATTAAAATGACATCATACAAGATTTTAACTCTTCTCAAACTATTAGATAACTTCTTAAGAAAATTTCCCTATAACTTTTCGAAAAAGAGTCGAAAAAAGGTCAAAAAGTAGCTCACTGCTACCTCCTTGCGCAAGCCGTTTTTGGTCGGGCGCAGCTTCGAAATGACCACGAGCCATTCCCCATGCGACCACTCTTCTACAAGATTCATTACTCAGAACTCAATTTTTCTCTGTTACAAGCCACGAAAGCCAATGGATGGAAAGAATCCAGGAGCACCATTTCACCGACTTTTTCGACAGGTTCCAACTTTTTTTTGAATTGAAATGCAATCCATGAACATGTTTTCCAATAGTTTTTCAGTTTTAATGAAAGTTTAGACTTCACGAAAGGAAAATGGACGAATTGAGGAATTAATTTTATTCTTTCTCTTTATGATATATTTGAAACGTACATTGTTGTGGTTTGGAGAAGGGAAGAAATTGTTTATTTCGTTGAAAATTACTTTAAAGCATTTTTGATTTGAATAAAAAAAGTAATTTCTCTTACTTTTTTGGCTTATAGTCTAGTTTATAAGCTTTTTAATTTTGTTTCTATGAAAAAATTGGATTTTTTTGAGGCCTTCCAGACGTTATAAAATCGACTAAAAAAGGAGAAATCGTGAAAAATTGTCTCAGTCAAGTTTCAGAAAATTCAGAAGCCTTGACTTCTTGTCCCTTCTTACTTAGGGACGCCAGAGTGGTCCCTAGAGGGCTGAGAGAGAAGTCCAGCCCCTAGAGGGGACAAAGTAGAGTCCGTTTTTCCCGACTTGAAAGGGCTTCTCTGCGCCCTCTCAGGTTGAAATGCTATTTACATGTTTTTCTGACCTGGCCGGTGAGAGAACAGAGAGACGCAGACACGCGAAAACTCTCAAGTCGCGGCGGACGGACTAGAAATTTAGGTGGTCCTTCTAGGGGTTTAGGGTGTGATATCTAAGCCCCTAAAGCTTAAGTGGCCCTTATAGTGATCTTTTGATTGTTTTTCATGATTTTTCGTACAAGGAGACATAGTCCCCTAGAGTGGTCACTTGCGAGCTTTAGTGAACCCTAGAGAGGTCCCTTGAGGAGAACCTTTGTGGGGCACAAAGACTGCTCCTTTAGGGACCACTCTGGCGTTTCTGGAAGCAGGAAACAGTATCTGATTTTTCAAGTGGACTAAATAAGCTTAAATATTGAATTATTTAACTTATTTTTTTACTGAAGTAAAAAAACATTTTTTTGTGGTTCATTCTATAAATTCGATAATAAAAAGGTCATTTATATTTTTTTGAGCCTTTAGTTTAATGATGAGTTTGAGGATTTCACTATAAATTTCCTTTTTTTCAGTAGATCTCACTTTATAAAAAGATTTTTTTCTCTGAAATTTCCAGGAAAGATGAAAGCTATGCACGAGACGATCCAGGACAAAAATCGAGGATTTCTTGAATATTTTTGGACAAACATGCCGAGAACGGCGACACGTTCGATATCTATGAGTTGGTTTCATTGTAAATTATTTGAAAAAAATTGAGAAAATGAGGAAAAAAATAAGGAAAAAAATAATTTTTTTCATTGGGCTGTAAGATTTTTCTGAAAAAAATGGCCTTAACACTTCTTGATGCAAAAAAATAAAAAAATAAAAAAATGAAAAAATAAATTTTTAAACAAGTTTCTCGAATTTTTCGAACCTTCCTCGATTAAATCAGAATTGAAAGCTTCAAAAAATAAAAATCGAGTAAAAGGATAAAAAAAAGCTTTTTCGAGCAAAAATACAGAGTCTTACCATCAGAAAACCATGAAAATTCGTCTATTTTCAAAAAAAAAGACTTTTTTAAATTCAACTTAGCTTCTAGAATCCAAAAAGTATACTGAAATAACATTTATTCCAATAAAAAAATCAAGATTTTCAGCGATTTCCAAGCCTTGACCCTGGACGTGATTGGAAAATGCGCCTTTGCTATTGAGAGTAACTGTCAGAAAGATCGATCCGAGGTTTTTTTGCAAACTTATTTTTTTCTTTTTAATATAGCCAATCCTTGCCCATTTCAAAGGCGAGATGGGTAGATTGGAAAAGATGACGCGTTGCGTACGCGACGCGACTTATTGGCGGGAAACTATAGCACTAAGAATAACTGACGAGATAAACGCGAGCTCGGTGGCGGTACATTGACTAACTCGCAAAAATGTCGCTTTTTTCTAGGCGCGATCCCGCATTTCTCTCGGCGCGACTTCGCATTTTTCTCGGCGCCATCTCGCATTTATCTTGCATTTCGGAAATTTTCAAATTGCGAGAGAAATGCGAGCTCGCGCCCAGAAAAATGCGAGACCGGCGCGAGAAAAAAAGCGAGATGTTTGCGAGCTCGTCAATGTACCGCCAGTGTCTCGCGTTTATCTCGGCAGTTATTCTTAGTGAGGTCAAACGCGACTCACATTTTCCTTTTTTTTTAAAAATATTTTTTTCAGACAATTTTTTTAATTATATGGTATTTTAATGGTTTAGTTGAATGATAGAAGTATAAAAAAAAAGATCTTTTTTTTCTACTTTTTTAAAAATTTTACCTTGGTTAATTTCGCCCTAAAAACGGACTATACCTTCTTTTTTCAGCTTTTTCTACACGACGGTACGAAAAATTCTTCAAGTTCCTCGATATTCGCTACAGTCGAATTGTCTCATTTTCATGTAAGATTTGAAAAAAAAATGAAAAGGTTCATGGTAAAACAAAATTGAGTTTCGAAGCATTATTGAATCGGGCAAAGGCGGAATGGTGAAGAATGGCTGCTAAAAGGGAGAGGCTCAGAAAAAGTCGCAGAAAGGCAGAAAAAAGGCAGCAAAAAGGCCGCAAAAAGGCAGCGAAAAGGTAGCAAAGAGGGTACCTTTATCGAGCCTTCCATTTTTAGGGCATAAGGGCCGATAGAATGGCGTAAAAGGGCAGCAGAAAGGGAGCCTTCATCACCCTAAAAGGAACATTTCTATGGTCTTTTATGGACCCTCGGAGGGTCCTTCCGCCTTTGCCTATGTTGAGGCTTAAGCTTATAGTTCTTAAATTCTTGAATTCTTCTTTTTTTCGGGTTACTGTATTCAAAAAAAGTACGTATTATAGTAAACTATGTTATGGGAAATTTTTTTAGTGGCCACTATAGAGGTTCTGAATTTAGTGGCCACTTCAGTAGTCTTCATCCAGTATTCCTTCCAGTAATTCTGATAATTTTAAAACAAACAGATGAGACCAGTTATGTTGATCCATTGACCCCTAAAGTGGCCACTAATTTGACTACTATAGTGCCACTAAAACTTCGAAACCATAAAGTGGCCACTAAAAATTTTCTCACTTGTGTAGTTTCTTTTTAACTTACAAATTTTGTACTGAAGGTTCTAATTTCCTTTTTATTTATTCATCTTTTTTGACATTTCCCTTTTTTCACTTTTCAGATATCCGTGCCCAAGAAGGTCTACATTATCATACCTTTAAGTGATTTTTCTATATTTTCCCAGTTTTAAGTGAATATCCGATTTTTCTCCCTTCTCTAGGCTTCTTTTAGGCAATAGAAAACGATTATTCGAATTTTTGGATTACTGTATCCAATTTGTCTGCAATTTGTCGATTTGGGGTACGGTATGCAATGATTTCAGTCATTTTCCCGGAGCTCGAGTGGATTTGGAAGCATTTGTACCGGTTCACACAGCTCTGTCAGTACGAGGCTCCGTTGGTTAACGGCCTTTCCGATGTGTTCGTTTTTTACAGATTCTTTTGAAAATCCTCTTTTCGTGGATTTCTCTTTACGTCTAGAACGTTCTATCCAACAAAACCGTCCGCAGATTTTTTTTCTAGATACGATCGAAGAAAATCGGGTGAAGCCGCTGATAGCATGGATCTACTGAAATTGCTCCTGAACAAGGAGAATAATGAAGAAAAGGTAAATTTTTGGACGATTACGGTAGATTACTGTAGTACGAGTGGTTACTGAATAAAGTATTAACAATAGCTTCGGTGCAAAAACGTCGAAATTATTTTGTTTGAACTTTTGATAGAGAAGAGAAACAGGGAAGTTAAAGAAATTAAATAATTTTTTTTTAAAGCCGCTGGAATTACATGACCGCACTGGGATTGGCTCGGAAGCCTCAAAATGGCCTATTTTAACGAATTTTTAGTTTTTCTTTGACTTTTCTTGGTCTTTTCTCAAAAAATAGAGAGCTGGGCAGGGAAAGACTAGTACATCAAGGAGCGTTCTGAACAATTTTCAGGAAAATTCCAATCGCAAAGTAAAATTACCTCCCTTGTCTTTGGTTCGGATCCTGAGGACTTTCACGCTCTTTTTTTGGCTTTTTATGGAAATTTCGAATTTTGCACACTATTAACTGTACTTCGGAGAAGAAATAATAATCCAGAAGCAAGAATTTGTTTATTAAGTTTACTTTAACATCATATTTTTTTCTTTCAAAAAAAGCTCTTTTTCCTACAATTTTCTTTACAAAACTTAGCTCTCTGAACTTTCAGCCCCTCACAAAGCAACAAGTCGTCGAGAACTGCTTCGCCTTCCTTCTCGCCGGCTACGAGACAACCAGTACGGCCCTCACTTTCTGCACCTATCTTCTGGCCAAACATCAGGATGTTCAAAGAAAGTTGTACGAGGAGATCGCGGCGACCAAGGAGGAAAAGGTTTTTTTGTTCATATTTATTTTAAAGCTTGGGCTGCGCCGTAGCGCAACAGGTTGTGTGCCTGACTAAGGTCCACAGGGTCACGAGTTCGATCCCCGCCTCGACCCAACCAAGGGGTTTAAGAAATGTTGGTAGTGGGAAACCACGACTTCAAAATCCCCAGCCGTCACACACAAGGACGATTATGTCACTAGAGCCAGTCCACTGATTATCACTGACATCAAAATAAACCCCCCCCCCTCGTAGGACTAGGACCACCCCGCTCAAGCGGTACAAAGGCGTGGGAGGAAGATGAAGATGATTGATTTATTTTGAAGCTTGACAAATTTTATTCATTATTATTTGAACAGAGCAAAAGCCCTTTTTGGGATTGAGAAAAATTTTTTTCCAAAATTTTTTTAACAAGGAGAGTTAGGAACATTGAGCGATTTTTGAAAAGTTCATTCTCAGCGTTGGATTTCATATCATCAGATAGATAGGACATTCAAAAAGACGAAAATTTTTGATTTTTGAAAGAATATTGACGTTGAGCCGAGTTACAATGATTTTAGTGACAGCCAGACGGTGAAAAAAATCGAAAAAAAAGTTCGAGAAAATTTTTTCCTCCATTTTTTCTTGTTTAAACTGTCCAATATCAAATTAATCAATCTCAAAAAAATTGATCATATGAAGGTATAAATACACATTGAAATCAAGTGAATAATAAACGCCGACAAAAAGAAAGCGAAAATCTTTTTTCCATTCCAAAAGAATTTTTTGAAGAGTTTCGCCGTTTTTTATATTTCATTCTTCTCTGAAAACCGAAAAGTAACTGTTAAAAAAACAAGAAAACCCGATTTCAAAACTATAAATAAATATCTATCCACAAAAAAATAATGATATCACGTCCATCAGAAATTATCCTGAAGTGAAAAAAATGACCTTTTTTTCTTTCAAGAATGAAGGTCGTTATATGTTTCTGAACTATATGAAATGATTATCATTTGAATGAAATTTGATCAGTTTTTCTCTTTCTTCTTGATAAAAAAACAAAACCAAAAAACCAAATTCGTTTTTTTTAAAAAAACAGTGAAAAATAGCCTTGTTTTTACAAGGAAGGTTTCATTTTTTTGAGGTTTTTTTGAAAATTGGCCACACTTCTCGAAAAAAACCAGAGAAAAAAATATTTCAATCTTTCAGATATGAAAAAAAGTTTAAAAAAATCATATCTCGGCTCGAAATGTTAAGAATCGGCTAAAAACAAAATTTTTTTAACGTCCTCAACGGGTTTTCTTTCATATAAAAATTATTTGATACCCTCAAAACCCCATATGATCTTGAAAATATTGATTTTTCCATCTCTCTCTGGGGTCAATTTAGTCATTCTAGACTTCAAAAAGTCATATCTCGGCTCAAAAAATTCATAATCGGGTAAAATAAAAGTTTTAAACGTTCTCAGAGGGTATTCTTTCATATTAAACCATCTGGTATCCTTAAAAACACATAGGATTTTTGAAGTATCGTTTTTTCCTTGCCCTGGGTCAATTTTTTCATTCTAGACTTCGAAAATTCATATCTCGGCTCAAAATTTTCAGAATCGGGTAAAATAAAAGTTTTTACGTTTTTGCGGGGTTCTCTTTCATATGAAATTATCAGAGACGCTTAAGAACCGATAAGTTTCTTCAAATACCAATTTCGCCTTACGACTCCTGAAAGCTAGAGAAAACTCCCAAAACCAGTGAAAATCGGCCATTTTGGGCTTTGAACCTTTTTTTTGGAAAAAAACTAAGATTTTTCAAAGGTTTAAACTTTCAGAATTTCCACCTGGTAAACTAGAAAAGTTTGAAAAAATCCCCCAACGGAAAGTAAAATTACCTCCTTTTCCAGAAAAATGTTTTATCTTGTTTAATTTCTGTGATAGAGCCAGAATAAAACGGAAAAAGGCTTATTTTAACTCAAGGAAAAAATTGCAAAGAATTTTTTGAAGCGATATAAAATTAAATTTGCAGGGTCTCAATTTCGACACGATCCATTCGATGAAATATCTTGATGCCGTGTTCAAGGAAAGCTTGAGGATGTATCCTCCAGTTATTCAGTAAGTTCAATTTTCAACTAATTCGAAAAAAAAAGAGAAAAATCAGAGAAATTCAGTCAGATTTTTGGGAAAATCGACAAAAACTCCCTCCGGATCCGATCCAAAGACCCTACAATTCAAAAAGAGACCTTTTAGCCTTTCGGCCAAACTTACATTTTTTTCGCAGTTTTAAATGTGAATATTAACCTGCAAAACCGAGAATTGCAACAATTACAAAAAAAAAAAAATTCAAAATGCGCACTTTTGCAAAATTCACAAGATTACTCAACACAAAAAAACGATAAAAAAATCAAAAAAATTTCTGCGTAACATTAAATCGAAGAACGTCCGGACACGATTAAATAATAAGAAAACAAAAAATAATCATTAACAAATTAAAAAATCGAGAAAATTTATCAACAAGATATTGACATAATTTCAAGGAGTATTCAAAACTCATTTCACCGTTTCTAGACTTTATATAAAAGAATGATTAATTCTCGTTTCAATAGATAAGTGAATATACAAATCATCACTTAATAAATAAATTCTTGCCTCTGAATTTTTATTTCTTCTCCGAATTACAGTTAACAAAGTGAAAAATCAAGAATCTCCCAAAAAGGAGCCGAAAAAGCAAAAAACATCCTCAGGATCCGAACCAAAGACTCTTACAAGGGAGGTAATTTTACATTTTCCTGAAAATTGTTCAGAACACTCCTTGATGTACTGGAAGAAGATTCTAAGAGTCTCAACCTGCCCAACTCTCTAATTTTTGAGAAAAGACGCCTCAAAGTAGAAGAAAACCCTCAAAATCCATAAACATAAGCTGTTTTAAGCTCTTAGTTTTGGAAAAATAGGAAGTCGTGCAGGTTGAGAATTTCAGGATCTTCTTCTGGTACATCAAGAGGTGTTCTGGCCGGTTTTCAGAAATTCCCAACCGCAAAGTAAAATCATTTTCCTGTTAGTTCCAAAACTGATTTTTTATTATAGGTGATATTATAAAAAATGACATAAATTTTCGTTAAAAAGATCCGAACCAAAGACCCTAAGTTTTGGAATTTTGCTCTTTAACCGTAAGACTAAAGCTATCTTTCTACAAAAGTGTAGTTTATAAAATTTGAAATTTTTATTTTTGTTAAACCACATAAATTTCCATTGAAAAAGGAAAAATAGCAAAAATCCTCGACAGGATCCGAACCAAAGACCCTCCATTCCTCAAAAACCTCCTTGACCATTCAGCTTCGTCAACCGCGTCTGCCTCGAGGACATAACGATTAATGGACAATTCATCCCTAAGGGGACCTTTGTGGCAGTCCTACCGTATACCGTACACATGAACGAGGAAAATTGGCCCAGGGCCAAGGAATTCATTCCGGAAAGGTTTGACCATACTACATACACGCTTCAAGATGCTCCATCATGAAAAAATAACTTTATTTTATAATAAGATGGATATTATATGTTCAAAAATCCAGAAAAAGGGTTGAAAATTGAAAATTGGTCGCACTGAGAATGGTTCGAGGGATCGCGCCCGACCAGATACGACTTTCGCGCTGCGATATATATATCTCCTCTTTAACTATCTCTCACCCTCAAAAACTCTCAAATTGGTTGCATTTGGAATGACTTTTCGTCGCCTAATCGAAGATAAATATCAAAATGAACTTTTCCAGTAAGGTTAGACAAGACTACATACGTTTCAATAACTTTATTTGTGAAGAATAAAATTCATCAGATAATCCTGTCTCAAACTACATTGGATAAAAAAAAATTGAAAAAAGCCATTTTGGGCTGAAAAAAAAATGTTTCGTTTCTTATTTTCGACTTTTTGAGCGTTTTCAGGTCACACTTGAAATGGATTTTTGGCGCGAAATTCGAAATTCGTCTCTAGAAATTCCAAAATTGTCCATTTGGCCGCACTGGGAATGGCTTTTGCCGCCGAATCTCGATTTGCATGACTTTGCCTGAGACGAGAGAGAGCTTAGAGTTCAGAGAACTTGTTGTCCCCGCAAAAAAAAATAGTCCAGCGCGCAAGTAACTTTTGGTCGGTTGCAACTCCGAAATTGCAATTTTCTTATGGAATTCTCATCAAAACCATCTCTTATGATATCTTGTTTCAGATTCCTCGACTGGAACGACAAGGGGTCACTTAAGTGGATTCCTTTCGGGGTTGGCCCTCGTTTCTGTGTCGGCATGAGGTTTGCCGAAATGGAGTTCAAAATGTCCCTTGCGAGGCTGATTGAACGATTCGAATTAAAATTACCGGAAAATGCACAGGTAAGGTCCAAAAAAAGTTCAAAAATGAGATAAATTCACTTGAAAGTTCCTGCGACCGACTTGAAGTGACTTACGACCGTTTGTATTTTTCATAGGAGAAAAATAGGCTTTTCTTAGTGAAAATCGATTGCCACAAGACCTTAAAAAAAAGAAAACTTTCAACTTTTTTCAAATCGACATTCTTTTGGATTATCCTTGGAGCACACAAGAATTTCATTTCGTAGCTATTTTTTTCAATATGTTTACCCCCTTTTTCGGATGACTGAGAATACTGAAGCTAGTACATAAACTTTAGATTTACTTCTTGAAACAGTAAAATTGAAAAAAGCTCAATTTTCCAGGAAATGATCCCGATGGTCAACGGCGTCATTATGCGGCCCAAGGACCCGGTCAATGTCATTTTGAATAAAAGGTCTTGAAATATTGATTTTTGTGGATTTTGTTGTTTATTACTTGTATAAATGTTATGAATCATTAAAATCGTTCAAAGAAGAAAAAAGAAACGGAAGTTGATTTTATTGCAAAAAAAAAAGAAATTTTGGATTTGGAAATAACAGCCTAAAAAATTTTTGATAATAAAATATATTAAATTCAGCCAATTTACTGCATTATACTATAATCTTGAAGAATTCGCTCGAAGGAAATTTGATTTTACGCGTTAACTTGAAAAAAGCCAGGACGAACAATTAGGCTTCAAGAAACTACTAGAAAAAAAAAATCAACCCCTCGTAAAAATGATCAGGAAAGCTTGAAAAGTGTGATTACATGAAAAATCACTTGGAAAATTATTTCTTCTAGCAGTTTACGTAGCTTGGCTTTCAATGCCTCCTCGTGAAAACCGTTTTCGGTCGGACGCGCTTTAAAAAACTCGCAACGTTTATAGCCACCCACGTGCGAATATAACTCATTGAGTTTGAGCCTTTCGGAAACCTCTCAAATTCTTAAAAAAATCGAAAATTAGTTTTCGTACAAGTTTTCAAACAAGATAATGTCAAAAAATCGAATCTTGAAAAATAGTGGGTCGGAAGACGACCGCAAAATCGGGGGTGAGAGTATTCAGGAAATCTTAGAAATATAGATGCTTTTCGGAACTTTCAAATTTTTTGTGAAAATGTTTGAGAAAAGTGAGAAAGTCTGCCTACGAAAAAATACTTGAAAATATCTTTTCTGGGGGTTAAGGAAGCTTAGCTTAGAGTATCTTCTCGCGGAAGCCGTTTTCGGTCGGGCGCGCATCGAGAAACTCGCGACGTACTGAGCCATTCCACATACGACCATTATTCTTTGTGTTTCAGCCTTTGCGAATTCTCTCAAGTTTTTGAAAATCGGAAAATACACGTCCTATAAGTTTTCAAACAAGATAATTTCAAAAAATCGAATCTTGAAAAATAGTGGGTCGGAAGACGACCGCAAAATCGGGGGTGAGAGTATTTCAGGAAATCTTAGAAAAATGGATGATCTCCGAATTTTTCAAAACTTTGTTAAAATTAGTTTTCTTTTTTTAAAAGTCTGAGAAAAGTGAGAAAGTCGGCCTACGAAAAAATACTCGTGAAAATATCTTTTCTGGGAGTTCACGAAGCTCAGCTTATAGTGCCTCCTCGCGAAAGCCGGTTTAGGTCGGGCGCGTTTCGAAAAACCCGCGACGCTTCGAGCCATTCTACGTGCGACCATCCTTTTCCAAGTTTCAGCCTCTGGAATTTTTCCGTATTCTTAAAAATCGGGAAAATCCATATCATTTCAAGTTTTCGATCAAGAAAATAAAAAAAAAAACTTTCTTTTTTCTCAAATTTCAAGTTCAAAATCACACCAAACTCCAATCATGTCACTTTTTCTTTTGATTTTTTGTTTCACAATCGCGAAAACCTCAACAAAGAGCACGTTGGGGGGCGAATTACTATGCAAATCGCGGTTTTTCCAAACATTTTTCCACGAACTTATTTGATTTGCGATCATTTTTTGTTGTCTAGTTTTTGGGCTTGATGTCATTTTTTTGTGGATTTTTTGTTGCGGTTTTAATCTTGATCATGATTAATTCAATTATTTTGCATTAAACCTCCACACAGACATATAAAAAAATTAGAAAAAAATAAACTTTTTTTCTTCAAAATTTGATCGAAAAAAATCAAGTTTTTTTCTGATTTTTTTGTGAAAAAAAGTATCATCAAAGTTCCCCTTTTTCCGAAATTGGACACCTTTTTCAGTTACCGAGCGCTCTTTCCAATTCATAAATGAAATTCAATGAAAAAAACATTTCAGGTAAAAAAACCGGAAAAATGTCCTACATCCAGCAGTGCTTTGGCAGTCAAATCAAGGTTAGTTTTTTTAATGATTCTAACCGAAAAATCATTGAACATCATTCTTTTTAATTATAGACCCTTCAGTAGTTATAATCTCACTCAACTCAAAATTTGATTCCTTGAGTGATTCCTTCAAAAATGTTTATTAGGAATTTCACTTTTCAAGTCTAAAAAAAGAACTTTTTTTACTATGAAATTTGGAAGTGAGCCCATTTCTGACCTGGTGAGAATCTCAGATATCTTCAAAAAACACTCAAGTGACCATTTTCCACTTCTCAATGCGAACAATTATTTGACGCTTTTCAAGCCGATTTTACTTCATTTTCAAAAATTACCATTGGGTACCGTTTATTGAAGTTTAGACGGTTATTTTTCTTAACAAAATCACTGAAGAGACCACTTAGAGCTATCGAATCTTTCCAAATAGTTAAGTCAATAGTTTCAAGTTGAAAAAAAACTTCCACTCTTCAAATCTAAATTAACCATGGAGCACAGTTTTGAGAAGCTGAGACGTTGTTTTTTCTCTCAAAAAATCACTAAAGTGACTACTTAGATCTATCGAATCCTTTCAAAAAATTAAAATCGTTTCAAGCTAAAAAAAAAAGAATTGCAGTCCTAGTTTCGAGAAACTGAGACGATTATTTTTCCTCATAAAATTCTAAAAGTGACCCCTTAGAGCTATCAGACCCTTTCAAACGATTTTTCATAGTTTTCAATCAGAAAAGTACTTGATTTCTTTAAAAATTATCTTCTTGAAACCCTTGAAAATAGTTTAATATCATTTTTAACGCGGAAAAAAGAAGGTTTATAGTCCAAAAATGAGCCATGGAGCGCAGTTGTAAGACTGAGACGATTATTTCTCCTCATAAAATCCCTAAAGTGACCTCTTCGAGTTATCGAGTCCTTCCAACTAGTTCAATAACACTTTTCAAAATAAAAAAAGCTCCTAGTCAAAAAATATCATCGACAGAGTGCAGTCGTGACAATCCCAGGCTGCTTATTCTTACAAAATCCCTAAAGAGACCACTTGCAGCCATGGACTTGCGGATGGCGCGAAGCTGTGCCGGCTCTCCCACTTCTGGCCGTCTTTTTCGCTCTACCGAAATTCTTCCTAATCGTCCAGAAAATCGAGCCCAAATTCGACTCTCCTCGCTATTTTTGGATCCATGTGGTTGGTTTTTTCAAATCCTCCTTAAAATCAAAAATCGGAAATTTATGATTTCTCTGCGCTCTCTTCCGTGCTATTTTCAAATAGCCCCGCTGGCGAGGGAGAAGAGAGCGCAGAGAGGTCATAAGTGAAGGCGAATGAACTATTTTTAAATTTTTACAGACGATTTTCACTCTACTTTTCGTGGAGAACTTGATTTTCTCGGCAATGACGCTGTATGAAGACGTCAGCTTCCGGCCATTCGTCCACGTTTTTCAACTCATTTCCTATGTTAGTTTGAATTTTATCGGACATTCTAGATTGAAGATGGCCGCACTTGGAATGGCTTACAGTATTTTTTTGGAGCTTTTCAACAAAATTTTGTAGTTTTAAGCATTTTTAGATCTTTATTAAAGTTCTTCAGCGAAATTCAATAATTGGTGGTCGCATTTGGAATGGCTCGAAGCGAAACCATTCTTCCTGTTATTGAAATTTAAAAAAAACTATCTTTTTCTGCGGTTTTTGGAATTTTTTAATTATCAGATTTGCACGTTTCAAGCTCAAAGCTTAAATGGAAATTTTCTGGAACTGCACCCGACCTAAAACAACTTTTCGCGTGATGGCACAAAAGACCCTGTTGAAATCGTTATTTGAATGCAGAAACCTTTATTTAGTTTTCAAACAGCTCTTAAAGATAATGAAGAGCTTCAAAAAAAGAAAAACAGAAAAAAATTTGAAATTTCATAAACTGAGAAAAATATCTCTTTTTCCGAGTTGTAGTCATTTTTCGTTTCTTTTCAAACCCATATTTTTTTATTTTTGAAGCCTTTTTATTTCATTTTTTTCCCTGATTCGAACAGTTTTCAAATTGAAAAAAATGAGAAAAATAAATAGAATTATTATTCAGAAAAACTCAGCTTGAACCAGACAAATCAGGATTTTTCAAGTTCAAAGCCAGGTCAAATTTCGTCCCACGATAAAAAAAATTAGTCCAGAAGGTATTGAAAAAAATATTTTTTCAGTCGCTTTACTTTTTCTCGAATTCCTTAATAAAGAGAAAGTTGAAAATTTCCCATTAAGTTTGTGATCCGAAAATTGAGAAACTAAACAATACGAATACGTTTAAAAAAGAAAAAAACAATCTAAGAGCATTCTGGAAAAGTCGGTCGGTTCGGTCAATTTTTTATGACGCTTATGTTTCCATGTTTCAAAATTTGAAACGTTTTTTTGATGAAGGTGTTGACGGTTCTGAAATACCTGTTTGTTGATTATATGACGAGTTTTCGAAGTCAGTTTTTTTCAAAAATTCTGGCCATTATATTCACAAAAATGCACTTTTTTTCTGACTTTTTTTACCATTTTTCGCCAAAAAAACTTATAAATCTAAATGAGCAATATTTCAATATCAAGTCAAGTTGAAAATTTTGACATGAAATTTATTGAAAAAAACACAAAATCTCCTATTTTGAGTCGCGAATATTCGTTTTTTCGAAACCTAAACTTCATCAAAACCGGGAATTTTCAGCATTTTGGACACTTAAGAACTGGAAAAACTTCGAAAATTTCAAAAAATGATCACTTTGAAAGTCATTTTTCTTTTCCAGGACGCCCCAACCCAAGTTCAAAAATTCTCCCTCTTTCACAATGTCCTGCACTAATTGTCAATCATCCAGGAGTTATCCTGGGGGCGTAAAAACACGAAAAAAAACGACCGTATACCTTGTTTTATGATGGATCGCTTGTCTTTTCTCGAACTTTCATTTTTCTTCTCTTCTTCTTTGTCCCTTGACGGGTTGTAATGTTCTTTTCTTTGATATATCGTGCCCTTTTGAACTAAAAAAGCTTCAGAAAGTATCAATTTATTTTAAAGAATCACAAATGATCCGAAAACTGAGATTTTTTCCGAAGTTTTCTTTGGATCAAAGAATTTGAAGCTCTGAGCCATTCCAAATGTGGCCAGAATGGATCTATATTTTTT